TGTGTGTGTGTGTGTGTGTGTGTGTGTGTGTGTGTGTGTGGAAGGGATTATTTTAAAAAAGTGGGCGGTGGCGGAAACGCAATAGGTAATAGTATGCTGCTGATGGTGGTGGTCTGCAAATCAACCAAGGCTTTCCCAACCTACTCTGCTTGGTGATAATAACAAAAGCAACGACGACAATAACAGTACAGCTGGCGATAGCAGCAGTATAAAAAAGACAACAAACAAACAGACAAGGACATAAAACATACAATACATGATAAAACAACAACAAAAAAACCCAACAAAGCAATCAAACAAAAAGAACCAACAGAACACATCTCAACGTGTCTGAGATACAACATCTGACAGCATAATGATTAACATCAACAACAATAACAGAAATATGCGCCTAGAGCTGTGTTTACACGGGAGTGGGCGCTATAGAAATGATCTTCATTATTATTATTATTAACAATCTACTTACTCATGTTTGCAATTTTGCGTATTGATGTTTTCTTTTCTAGTTTAGCATAAAGGTAACAATAACACATCAGTGAGCAGTCTAAAACTAACTAAATCAGCGATAATTAATTGTCCGTTGCATGGTTATACTGTTCTTAACTAATGGAGCTCTGACCCCCCTCTATCCATCTTTTCCTGGACCCGCCCGTTGCTCATTCTGCATCCATCACATATCGATGCCCTGCTGATTGAAGCCTTGACTGATGCCCAATCCATTTCGTTCGTTGTTTATCTGTATATTCCAAGCAAGGAGTTGAGCCATCTTTGTATCTGACAGTCTTGTTTCTCACCCTGTATAGATAACTTTAGTAATTATCCACTAAGGTACTTTAGGGTGGACGTGCCCGACTATCAAAAAACATATAATATTCAACATCAACACAGAAATGTACTCGTTTGATTCTCGCGCAGTGATTCACATTGATCATTCAGTTAATAACACACATCTGTGTCAAACACTTACTCATCAAATTTAACCCTTCCCTCCCTTTCAGCCACGTCCCAGGCGGCGGAAAAGCCGCCAGTCTCCATGCAGCCTTTGATGAACACGGCCAGGAGGCCAGCTATCATGATCAGAAACTGGAGTGTGTCTGTCCAGATTACAGCTTTCATGCCTCCCTGCGAATAAGTATAATAGTAATAGGTGATGCAGTGTTTAATAGCATACAAAGTTAGACCGACGGTATTCCATTCTGTTATGTGCCCATATCGACGTCATTTAGATTATTTAGGGGACGGACTTCGGCCCTGTCTGTCAGAGCTCCAGTGGGACTGGTGGGATACAAGATTTTACCAGGCAGACGGGTATACTCGATACACCCCCCCCGCCACTCACACAAACGAGAATCGAACTGGTGACTTCTGTGTGCGACAGCGAATCGCTAATCCGCTTCTTCTACGTTATAGACGCTGGTTCCATTCTTTGTTTAGGCTTGAATAATAAAACCGCTTACCTTAAGTACTTTACACCGGGCCTGCCCGTGTTGCATCTAGACCCTATACGTCAGCCTTCTTGGTGAAAACGTCTGTGTGAATTCAGAGCCTTAATAAAATAACAAGCACCTATACGATTCTATACCAACTTTACATGACCTAAAGAATGACAGCTGCTTCTCAGGTCAAGTTTTCTCAACCTTGTTCATTTTAGTACAACCCAGTCCGACGGTCTAAAATCAAAGGTCGTTGTTAAAGTTTTAGAGTGCGACAGTCAAGCTAAATTTCAGATAAGTCTTATGATGCAAACATCAGGGGTTGAGTCTGACAAACGCACAGTAGTATACCACCTATTGACATGGCAAAGCGGTTGATGAAAGCTAAATACTGCGAATCGGTGAAAGATTTCTGCACGTAGAAAAATAAAATATTTTAAAAAGAAAAATCGACAACTGTGTGGACAAACATCAATGCAAACTAATAAGCCATTTTTCTACATGGTGCAGCTTGACCCTACTCAGTGTGTCAAAGAGCCACCTACAGGTGTCGTGGTTATCAAGTTTCCTTTCAAATTACGGACAGTTTTTTGCGGTTGAATCCGTTTCTGAAATGATACGGTTCGCAGAAACCAAAACAATTTTTTTTTCAATAGGCCCAAACCTTTCAACTCAAGAACATTGCAGTACAAAGTAAGTTGTTTACATGCTGGCTACACCCCCAGAAACAAGTTGCGCAGCGCAGCGCTGACGTTAACTCTTTCCAGGCATTTGTTCTCCCAGTGGAGCAGTTTGACATGAGAGGTTTATGAGACTACGTGGTGTGCTGAAAACTCAGACCACCAAGAAAAGAAACGTTTTATGTAAGGCTCTAAGACATTGCTCAGACATCTTTGCTAACCGTTATCACGTGTGAACAGATTTTTTGTGTATGATATCTGTCTCGATCTCCTTTTCAATAGACACCCCACTGCAAGAATGTTTGCTGATGTGAGGTGAAATACCCAGAAGATCTGAAATCAAAAGTTTAAAAACTGTGAAGCGTATTCGTCGCTGACGAAATTTCTAATGCCCCCCCCCCCAGCCCCACACCTCACTCCCACCACATTTTCTGATAAATGTACATAAATATGTTTCCATAGACATATGGTTCGTTGTGGGGATGATGCAAGTATTTATCTCGAATTTGGAGAAGCACAGATATCCTTTCCACATTTTCACTATGTTGCCTGCATGTACATACGGAGTCATTACCTTTTCCTATAATCAAAGACGAATAATACAATTTGGGTAATGCAAGTGGTATAGAAAAACAGAAAGCTCAAGGCAAAAGGTATAGAGTAAACGTTAATGAAAAGGTAACTCGTATAGACCTGCACTGCTTTTAACGTTTGAAATCAGTTGAAATATGCATAGACTTCAAAGTAATTTTTATTGCAGTTTTGTGTTTCACTTCACACAGCTTATTAGATTAATTACTAATTAGACCTATTAAGAATGTCATCTAGTCAGACAGCCTCAGGGGCCCATAACACCAAGTACTGAGGCTATACTATAAAGGAAGAGGTAGGCCACGCAAAAGGTGGTTTGAGGGAGTAGGGAAACTCTGAAAAACTATAACATCTCTATTGCGCATAGAGTTTGCAGTTGAACGGGAATTTGCACTATATAAATACTATTCATTATTATTATTATTAT